AGAGAGGGATAGAAACATCAGTGATGAGAATCATTGATCAGCAGTCTTCTGCACAACCCCCCCACAGGGGATGGAACCCTCAACCTGGGCATGTGTCCTGAACTGGAATCATACCATGACCTCCTGGTTCATGGGTTGACATTAAACCACTGAGCCACACCGGCCAGGCTTTTTGTTTGATTTTTAATGAGCTTTATTAAATAACCCCAGCTAAATGCTTGGCTCATTAAACTACTTGATGCATTTGCTAAGTCATCCTGGCAGACCCATGTTGATGTGGTTCTGCTCACAAGGAAACTCTCAGTAAACTCCATGTGAAGATTTTTGGGGTCACTGGCCAACTGGTAATGGAAATACTCAGTATTTTTTGGAGGGGGATCAAAATAATTTTGTTGTGCTTTATGATGTCAAATTCTGTGGTTACAGCCAAATACCTGGCCATATGCTTAAACAAGTTCAAACTCTTTCTTGTTGTTGTTCATTGAAATACCTTGGCCTCTTTCGCTGATAACAGTGCAGCTTGCTTCTATGTTTCTTGGCTTGAACAAGAATGAGTGGAACACTGATTTACTTACCACAAAATGTTAAGTTAATCCTCTTTATGTCTGCTATCCAAAGTGTATGGGTTTCTCCTCTATCAATGATACCTGATGTCAGCCCAGTAGATATTTAGCAGAGAATTTAGCTATTAAATTTTGCCATTTAGAATATTTAGGTTCAGTTGTTAACTAGTACTTAGAGAGTTTAAATGGTATCCATTTACTAGTTTCTTTCAGTCACTAAATTTAGTTATACCAGTCAGTATCTGGCTTGTATTATCTTATGCTTTATATTGGATTAATTTCAGAAATACAGAATTGAAGAACATTTTTAGTATCTTATGCAAAGTAATACAGGAAAATCATAGTTTATTAATTTATATGCTATTTCTTATGCAATAAATCATATGATAAATACCTGCTTGAAACCAGTGTCAAAGAAATTGAAGCAACTTTTGATGACTCGGTATGTTTTATTTATTTAAGAAGTGGGAACTGTATAGCACAAATTTTTTTTTCTTTTTATTGTAAAGGCCAGGAAGTGAATATCTAATATCACTTGGTGCCCCATTATGTTAAACTAGAGGCCCGGTGCATAAAAATTCATGCACTGGAGGAGGGTGTCCCTCAGCCCAGCCTGCTGCCTCTGCAACTTTTGATGACTCGGTATGTTTTATTTATTTAAGAAGTGGGAACTGTATAGCACAAATTTTTTTTTCTTTTTATTGTAAAGGCCAGGAAGTGAATATCTAATATCACTTGGTGCCCCATTATGTTAAACTAGAGGCCCGGTGCATAAAAATTCATGCACTGGAGGAGGGGGTCCCTCAGCCCAGCCTGCCGCCTCTCAGTCTGGGAACCCTCAGGAGCGGGAGGCAACCCGGCGATCAGGAGAAGGTGTCGCCCCATCACACCTCTGCTGCTGCCACTGCCAGGAGCGCAATGCTTGGCCAGCCCTGGTTACCTGCGCCTTGGACCAGCCCTGGACGGCTGGGGGGCTGAGGGGAATGGGAGACTCTGGAGGCAGGCGTGTGGCAAGGCCGGGTCAAGGGGACTGGGCACCGCCATCTTGTGGCTGTGGGTGCTGCCAACTTTGAGGGTGTGGCAGTCAATTAGCATATCCCTCCTTATTGGCTGTGGGTGCCACCATCTTTGCAACAGCATTTGGGTTAACTAGCATATTCCCTTGTTATTATATAGGATTTTTAGGTGGTTTCTTTTTCATCTTTTAAATGTGTATAGCACAGTTTTATAACTACTGCATGTTTTTTAAAGACAAATAGGAAAGGTCACCTTCTTGAAGAGGCTTTGTCTGCAGACTCAATTGAAATCAGCTCCCTTCCCCTAGCCCCCTCACAAATTTTTCTTTCTAAGCACTCTTCTGTCATTGCATTTATAAAAAATTATAATTATTTTTTCCTTGTTTATGTTTGTCTCCTTCTCTAGACTCTGAACTCTATGATCATAGAGAAATTATCTGTCATTCAGTATTTTAGCCCTAACTGAACCTAACACATAATAAGTGCTCAATAAAAACTTAATGTTGTCAAGTTATGAATAGATTGCAATAATCCTTGTAACATCAATCCCTAAAATCTTATAGCATAATATTTCAAACATCTAGGAATGTTGTTGGGGTATTATATTAATACATGATAATTTGTATAATAATGTATTTGTCTCTTTTTAAAGGTTTGCAATTTAGGTTTTTGTGAACTGTCCCAGGATTTTCACAATAAGCAATTATTAACCTAAGATTAAAATGAGATATTAAAGAACTAAAGGAATCACTAGAATTCATAACTTAGTAAATTAAGAATTAATTGGTGTGCCTTATTCAGGTAATATTATCTATAGCATAATACCTGTATCAGAGTTATATAGAAAGAAGGGACAGTGTGGCTGCATATTTCAAGTGTAGTTTTAGGATTTACAGTTACAGGGATAGATGCCTATATTTCCTTGGACAAATTGTGTTTTATCTTTTTTGTGGTTGGAGGGGTTCAGGCAAGGAAGGCTCCATGGGATTCCTGTTGCATGTCAAGAAAACAGCAAAGATGAAATGAGGAATAAGAATTTAAGTCCAGAAGTCTTCATATCTTCCGGACAATGGGCAAGTCCTTTACCGTCTTCCTTTCTTCCCTTCTCCCTCCCTCCCACCTTCTTTTCCTTTAGTTGTTATATCTCCTTCAATCTGTGACAGTTTCTCAGTCTTTCCTTGTCTTTCACAGCCTTCACACTTTTGAACAGTACTTGTCAGATATTTTGTGGAAAGTTCCCAATTTTGTTTTGTCTGATGTTTTCTCATGAAAAGTCAGAGATGAATTTTAGGGAAGAACACCACAAAGGTGATGTTCCCTTCTTGTCATATCATATTGGGTGGGGCACAGGGAATCGATGTGACTTCTTTCTGGTAACATTAACCTGGATCACGTGGTTTAGGTGGTGTACGCTAGGTTTCTCTGTTATAAAGTTTTTTTTTCTTTCTATACTCAGTTGGGTAGAAGTGTGCTTTTTGTCCTCAGCTTTATTGAAGTACAAATGGCAAATAAAAATTGTATATATTTATGGTGTACAGCAAGCATGTCAGACCCATGGCCCGCGGGCCACATGTGGTTCACAATGAATATTTTTGCAGCCCAGTCAATATATAACGATATGTAAGAAATGTTTTAATAAAAATTTCATAACTTAATCTTTACAATATCCTATTATACATAATTATTAATAATGAACTACAACATTTGCTCATGGCTGATTACTATAATTATGTTGCATTCATTTCCCTTACACGCCTTAGGCACAGGTGCACCATTTCTCTCGATTAATACTAGCAGCAAGTATTTTAGTAGCTGTTTGCCATGTTATTAGTCTTGTACTGACTTGTTTGGTGTGTGCAACAGGAAATATTTCACTTTTGAAGAACAAGAAAAATAGGTTTATTTGCATTTCACTTATTAATTTGTGCAGTTATTCAGGGTCTGATAAGTTAATGTTCAAGAAAAAGTATTAATTTTTATTAAAATGTTCTATTATTTTATGTTAATAATTATTCATTTATTTCAGCCCTTTGTATTAAGCATGTTGCTATCGAAATAAACCTATGTTCCTATGAAAACTGAAGCTTTTGTTTTTTTGCGGCCCACATAAACTTAAACCTTGTTTATTTGGCCCGTCTTAGCCTTTGAGTTTGACATACTTGGTGTACAATGTGCTGCTTTGATATTTGTACATATTTGTGAAATTACCACAATTATGATTATTTACATATCCATCCCCTCACAGTTACCTTTTTTGTGATGAGAATATTTAATATTTATTCTCTTAACAAATTTCAAATATACAATGCAGCATTATTATTGACTAGAGGCCCAATGCACGAAATTCCTTCCTTCCCCCAGCTGCCGGCACCAGCTTCCCTCTGGCACCCGGGACCTGGGCTTCCCTTGCAGTCCCGGCTTTGTCCAGAAGGATGGAAGGACATCCTGTCAAGTTAGCATATTAGCATAATAGCTTTTATTATTATAGATAGTCACCATGCTGAATATTAAATCTCTAGAACTTATTCATACCACATAACTTAAACTTTGTATCCTTTGACCAACATCTTCCCATCTACCCCACTCCCCAAGCCCTGGCAACCACCATTATATTCTCTGCTTCTATGAGGTTGACTTTTTTAGATTTCACATATAAGTGAGACCATGCAGTATTTGTCTTTCTGTGTCTGGCTTATTTCACTTAGCATAATGTCCTCTGTGCTCATCCATGCTGTAGTGTATGACAGGTTTTTCTTTTTGTTTTGCTTTTTAGTTAAGACTTTTTTTTTCCCCATAGAGGCCCTCAAATTTTATTTGAAATTAGTAAGAAAGTCTCATAGAGATGTCAGAGTTAAATACACATGTATAAATATTACCTGCTACATAATGCTGCCCACTCTCACATTAAGAATGGCCAACTCCTTTCTCACAGCAGATGTAGTATAAGAGTCCAGAGGTACAGTTCTTGCAGAGAATGTAGGAGTCACAAGCTTATAGTGGACCCTAGACCACTTCTGGCAGACAGAAAATGAGAAAAGCAAAACTTCTTTCTTCAGACTCAGTCTAGTGAAGTGTGCTCCTCACAGCTGTCCAATCATCTCACCATTTGTTTCAAGATCCTTCATTGCATGGATATCCTAGGGGGAGTGATACTGATGGTGTAGGGTGACCAAATACAGGTTCACAGTTCTATTTCTTTTCCCAGCAGGAACCTCTCTTCCCAGGTGTGTGGACCTGATATTGAGAGTTCTGTCCCAATTCCCTGCTTCCCAACCTGTCCTACTCTGTATTGAGGAGGAGGAAGGGAAAGGAAGAGGCAAAGCAATAAAAAGGGACAGGGAGAGGAGCCCTTCAATTTACATAGATGCCAAAGACTTCTGTTGGGAAGTTCTCTGTCCCACCATCTAGGAATGAACAAAGCTCAATTGGAGTCTGAGTCAGAGGTGTCCCCCGAGGAAGACGAGCTGGAGCTGCTATCATCTTCATTGCTACTGCTGGAATCTGAGGAGCTGCAGCTTTCTGCATTTTCCTCATGTTCCTCCTTTTCTTCAGATCCACGCGAGGAATGAAAACAGTCCCCATTGGTCTCTGATGACTCTGTCCCTGGAGCCTGTGGCCCCTGGTTCTGTGCAAGCTCTCTTTGCAGAGACCTTGCTGATGAAGATTGCACATCTGTCCTGATGATCTTGGGGTCTGGACCTCCACGCATGTTCATGTTCTTCCGCTTTCCAGAGGTTCTCTCTCTGTAGGCAGCATACTCTTCAGGAGACAGATTCTTGAGCCAGTGCTCCAGGTCCACCTTGTACTGTTTCTGCAGCTCCTCAGCCTGCTTCCTATAATGCTCCCTCTGGCTCTTTGGGATGCGCTGCCAGCGTCTGCTAATCTCCACCATGCGCTCCCTCAGGGGCAGGCCTTGCAGCTCCATACTCGACCACATATCCTGGTGGAACTTCTGGTATTCGTTCATGGGGGGCTTCTCTGGCTCTCCATGGAATTTTATCTCCTCTGAAAAATTGTTTTCTGAGGAAGACTTCACTTCTTTTCCTTGTTTCTGAAATTTCTTGGGGGCTCGGTTTGGGCTTCTTTTGGGGACAACAGATGTCTTGGAGTTCTGCACTAGTTCAGGGTGGTTTTTCCTGAACTGAGCCATTTTCCCCCCATATTCCTGTTTCTCCTTCTGGAAATCTTGAATATATTTCAGTTTCATCTCCTCTGGGAGCTCCTTGTATTTCTCAGACATGACCTTGGTCAGCTCCTGGTTGTTGAGTTTGGGGTACATTTGGGAATATTCGAGACGCTTCTCCTTGAAGAAGCGGAGATAAGAAGTCAGGGGCTGCTTGGGCATGTCAGGATGTTTCTTAAGTTTTTTGCTTTTGTAAGAATTTTTAACATGTTCCTTAGCTTCCAGGACTAAGTCTGTCAAAGTACGATACTTTCTTATCTTACTAGAAACCTCTAACCACTTGAGTTTGCACATTTCTCCAGAATAATCTTTAAAAGCTACTTTTCCCCAGTCCATATGTGACTGGGTTGTTTTGAATGTGTGGTTGTCATTGGGTGGGAGAATATTCTTCATGAGGTCCAGTAACATCACAATGTCTTCTTTGGGCCATTGGTCTTGGCCGTTACGCAATGCCATTTCTAGGGCTTTGGCCACTTATGAGGCCGCAGTTATGCAAACACCACAGCAGAAACTCAAAAGTCTGCAAGCTTAAGATGTAGCTTGAATCTCCCTTGATATAAGGATCCCTGAAGCTCCTCGCTAATTAGGTTTCAGAACTCCCACCTCTGGGAGTTCTGTCAATATCAGCGTCAATAGAAAATCTCTGTGCGGAAAGTTGAAAAGGGAAAATCTAAATAAAACTCATCTTTTAAAATTTATTTAAAAATGAATGATAAATCCATCAAAGCCCACATTTCCTAGAAAGAGGTGAATTACCTGTCCTCTTACTCACTGAATAGGATTGTAAATTAAGGTAACGGTCATTGAAGAGCAATGATTCCAAAATTAATTCTGGAAAAATTATCTCAAACATTCCTCAACATGTTGCATGTCATCTATGTAAGCATATAGAGGAAGGAGTTTCATTTTTCATCAATTCAAATAATTCTGTGGTCAGGTTGTGTCTATGGTCACAGTTGGAATCCTGGTCAGGCCACATACCTGAAATGCTGGCTCGGTCCTGAGTAGGGGGCTTGTAGGACACAGCCCATCCATGATTCCCTCTCATTATTGATGTTTCTATCTCTTTCACCCTTTTTCTTCCCCTCTCTGGGTGGGATCATATAAAAGCCACATCTCTCCAGAGGCCACTTCTCCAGGATAGATGCTAGTTAAGACTTCGTATTTCATTTTTTAAAGAGCAGCTTAAGGTTCATAGCAAAATAGAGGGGAAGATATAGAGATTTCCCATATGCTTTTTGTTGCCGGAAGCCGGTCCACCCTTGCTGCTTGACACAGTCGCTGCAGGGAAGAAACATCTGCACAGCTTATGTTTCAAGGGACCTGGTGTATATGGCATATGTTTGCTCCCCCTCTTAATGCTATGTGTTTTAAACAGGACCACCTCCCCGAGAAAGGTTATTTCCCCAGGTGAGGATTTTTCTCTGGAGTTAGGGAGGGAATAAAACCCCTTAACTAAGTGCCAGGTGAGTAATTAATCACTTTAACTATGAACAATCATGCTTAAGCTACATAATCTTATTTCCTGGAATGGAGATAAGAAACACCCTAACCTTTGGAATAGAAATTGATACCTGCAAAAAAAACAAAACAAAACTTTTGCCCAGAATCCCTGACACCCGTGAGCAGTTGTGTTTTCGGGTCTGCCATATCCACCTTTCCCCCTTTCCCATGGCTCCGTCTTTGGCCAATAGTTGTAATTGTTCAGGTATTAAGTATATTTTATTGATTTTATTACAGAGAGGAAGGGAGAGGGATAAAGAGTTAGAAACATCAGTGAGAGAGAAGCATCGATCAGCTGCCTCCTGCACACCTCCCAATGGGGATGTGCCTGCAACCAATGTACATGCCCTTGACCAGAATCAAACCTGGGACCTTTCAGTCCACAGGCCGACGCTCTATGCACTGAGCCAAACCGGCCAGGGCTAGAGTATTTTCACTGCCCTAAAAAAATCCTCTGTACCCCTTCCCTCTATTGAACTTTCCCCTCAACCACCAGGCAATGACTGATCTTTTTACCGTCTCCATAATTTTATTTTTTCCAGAATGTCAGATAGTTGGGATTGTACATATTGACTTCTTTCGCTTAATAATATCCATTTAAAGTTTCTCTATGTCTTTTCATGCTTGATAGCTCATTTATTTTTAGGGATGAATAATATTCCATTGTCTGGATGTACCACAGTATATTTATATGTTCATCTACTAAAGGACATTTTGGTTGCTTCCAAGATTTGGCAATTATGAATAAAGCTGATATAAACATCTGTGTTCAGGCTTTTGTTTGTACATAACTTTTTATCTCCTTTAGATAAATACTAAAGAGCATGATTGCTGGGTTATATGATAAGAGTATAGTTATGTTTGTAAGAAACTTCCAAACTGTCTTTTTTTAAAAAAAAAAAATTAGTATGTTTTTATTTATTTACAATTAATTTTGTAATTAAAGTAATATATTCATATAGTTTTTTAAAAATTGAGATATAACTTACATTAAAATGCATGTCTTGAGTATTCAGCTTGATACATTATTAACAACGTGAACATGCCATTCTCATTGCTGAGTATTGCTCCATTGTATGGACATAGACTTTTTCATTCTCCTAATTATAGACATTTGGATTATTTCCTGTTTGGGGCTTCCTTATAGACTGAATGTTTGTGTCTCTCCCTCCCCCAAACTCCTATGGTGAAACCTAACCCTCAACGTGATTGTATTGGGAAGTGGGTCTTTGGGAATTGATTTAGTCATGAGGGTAGAGCCCTCATAAATGAGATTAATGCCCTTATTTTTTTTTTTAAAAAAGAGACTCCAAAGAGCTTCTTAGCACCTTCACTGTGAAAAGACAAAGGAAGAAGATGGTCATCTATGAACCAGGAAGTGGGCTCTCACCAGACAGCAAATCTGCTGGCACCTTGACCTGTTTTACATCATCCTGTTCTTGTTTCATTATAAAAACATATTTAAGTGCATCGAGTAAGAATCTACAGAGCAATGAGGATGCATAAATGACTCAACACAATGAGTAAGTCATAAAGTTGAGTGGGAGAAGCCAGGCCTAACAGAATGCATATGTTTACATAAAGTTTGGAAGCAGGCAAAATGAAACTAGATTGATATTTATAATCTTTAATAGATATTAAAGAAATGCGAAGAGGTAAACATCAAAATTTTTAGGTAGGATGTGGCAGTCAGGGTGAGGGCAGGGAATTGGTTAAGGTTGGGAAGGGCAGGCAGGTGGCTTCTGGGGGTTGGCAGTGCTCTGCTTCTGTAGGGGAGGTCACACAGGTCTCCGTTTGATAACAAGTTTTAATGTGGGTGCTTAAGTTTTGGGCACTTTTCTGTGTGTTATGTTTTACTATTTAAGAAGGAAAAGGTACTTGAAATATATGAAGAGCAAAAGTCCCCATCCCTCTTCTCTCTGCAGAGCTAACACCTTGGGTCTCATTTGGTTTCCTTCCAGATACTTTTCTATGCACTTACATCCCTAAACACACATGTACACAGGATACAATTTTCTTGTATTTCTCTTAAGTGATATATGCTTCATTCCATAACCTGTTTTCACTTGATGATTCTTGGACCCATTAAAGCTCAGTCCACCTTCTTCTTTACTGCCATGGCATACCATTTCACACAGTATTAATGCATGATAGCTGGACTGAATTAGTAATAGTGCCTATTGCATGGGGTTGTTGTGAAGATTTAAGTGAGATATTGGATGTAAACTGCTTAGAACACTTAGGGCCTGAACCAGTTACTTCACTCCTGGGTGCTTCCGCTTCCATATCTGGGGATGATAGCAGCTGTAAAGTGGGATTCACATGAGGATCAAATGGGTCAGGACAGAAAAAGCTGTTCCTGGCAGTGCCTGACACAGGCAAGCGTTGGCTGTGAGAGCAGTAAAGGTGCAGATGGCCTCGCTTTACTTATTGTGAATGCACAGTTTGCTTTAATACCTGGGAGGTATTAAAGGCAGGCTCCCTGTCTTTGTCATTTATTTTGATCATTGTTTTGGTTCTTCTTCCTTGTCTTCTCTTCTAGATGAACTTGGTCATCTAGTTTCATAAATAATCCTCTTGGATTTAGAGACTAATTTACTGAAGTTATAGATTGATTGGAGGAGAACTGACATCTTTACAATATTGAGCCTACCCATCTGGAGGCAGATCATCTCTCCTTATATGCTGGCCTCTTCCTGCCAAACTGTCTTCCAATGTGGCTGTACCATTTTGCATTCCCACCAGCAATGAATGAGAGTTCCCGTTGCTTCATATCCTCATCAGCATTTGATGTTGTTAAAGTTCTGGATTTTGGCAATTCTAATAGGTGTGCTTTCCTTTTCTTTTTAAGGCTGAATTATATATATATATATATTCACTCATCCATTGATGGACACTTAGGTTGCAGTGCTGTGTATTTGCTGTAATGTACATGGTGTGCAGATATCTCTTTGAAATACTGATTTCATTTCCTTTCAATCTACACCCAGAAATGGGATTACTGGGTTATTTGATAATTCTATTTTTTAAAAAATATATATTTTATTGATGCTTTATCCACTGAGCCAAACCGGTCAGGGCTGATAATTCTATTTTTAATTTTTTGAGTAATCCCCATCCTATTTTCTAAATGGATGTACCAGTAGAAATGTGTGACTTTTTTTTTCTCTCTCAAGAGTTTAAGAGCTGATTTATTTAGTTTCCAAACTTATGGGATTTGTGAAAGCTTTTCTTTTGTTAAAATTTCCCATTTCATTGTAAAATGGTAGAGTACATAGTTTGTATGATGTTGATTTTTTTGGAATTTATTGAAGTTTCTTTGTGACTTAATTCATATCCTATTTCTGTATCTGTTTCAAGTATTCTTGAAATGAATCTGTTTTTCTCCATAGCTTAATTTCCACATCTATGAAGTGGGAAAAAACAAAAATATCCAATTCCTTTGGGTTTTGTTTTGAAGGTTGCAAAGCCAAAGGCCAAACTGAAAGAGAGAAAAATATGACACTTGCTCTTCTAGCTTTTTGACACTTTCTTTTGCAATCTTGCAATGGATATATCTTGATGCAAGTAAACATGGTAGGGGAGAGAGAAAAATGAATATCTGTCCTTCCTGAAAATGGATTGATTACCACTGGGTAACAGGTGCTTAATCCTCTGTGGGTGCAAAGTTCCGTTGACAGAGAGGGACTGGACAGAGTGGAGGAGTAGCCACCTGTGATAGTGATTCTGATCTATTGTGGACTCCTTCTGGGCCTGCTGGCCTTAGATATTTATGTAAATGAAGGTGAACCATTAGTTGATGCTCCGAAGTATCATTGTATACTAGAATGGTTGGTGGTCCTCCCAATAGGCTGATTGATGGCAGCTGGCTAATCAATCAGAAAACTAGCCTGGTTGCTTAGGAAGCAGCATGTCTGCTTATTTAAATTTTCCATAGGAAGAGGATTTTTATG